AAACTAGATCTGTAAACCAATTAGATGAACAAAAAAGGTGCAAAATTAGGCCAATCAGTGTGCTGCAAAATAGATGCAGAATATTATATTAAATATGTATTTATTTTGCAGTGCACAGGCTGAATATTCAGTGACTGGTCATCAATCATCTTTTTCACCATCAATCACCGCTTTATTTGGCACCACATGTAGAATTCAGAATTAAAAATCAAAACAAATATGTTCAGCAATGTGCACTATTTTTGGTTAATGACTAGGTTAATGACCAAAAATGGTGGATGCAAATGATGTACAATAGAAAGGGCCTGGCTCAAGGGTACATAATTCTACACATTTTCTAATTTAGTTTAGTCAAATCTTAGTTGCAAGCTGTCATGCTGTAGGGTTTTTAGTCAGCATGGTGTTCAGATGAGCATATTTTGGCACATGGCTCTTGCGCAACTGCAAGTAAAGTGCTTGGTGGTATAGCCATGATCTTTAACTAATGGGAAGTTCAAGGTAAAAAATAAATAACAAGTAACAGACTAAATTTCATTGAGGTGCATTCCTAAGGGCAGGAACACTATTGCCAGTTGATAAAGCCCTGTGTGGCGAAACGCGTTTTGGCTATTATTCATATTTTATACTGTATCAATAAAGGAATATTGGCTTTTATATTATAATTTTGCCATATACCTTTTTTTATTTTATTTTTACAATTTCCTGGTACCTGGTTATATTTTATCTTGGAGCCTACATACGACCAAGAATCCTGGGTGGGGATTGTACCACCTATGCGATTATATTGAGCAGTACATTCTGCTCATCCGAATGTGAGTACTTTTTTTATTTTCTTTTATTTCATTTTATTTATATCCAGTTAGCACTATATTCTGCTTTTATCTTTTTTCCATACTGAGGAATCATCTTCACCTATATCCTACCAGTGGGGGACAAACGCCACTGAATGCCTAACATACTAGAGCGAGTTTACGCTCTGAAATAGGTGAGTGTATTACCTCCCTATTATTCTTCATACTTTTAGCTATTAATAGACAATCTACACTATTGGATCTTCCCTGTTTTCTTTATTTTTCATGGTTATCATCGAGTCAAGACTACCCTAACATTAGAAGATCCAGTTCTCCACTGAACATACTACCTTCATATATTTACTGGAACCAGTAAGAGAAATACACAAAGTACTGAGATTTCCATTCATCCATTGGAACTTACCTAAAGTGCACCAAGTATTTGGACTATTATTTATATATTTCTTTTTATGTTTTTAAGTGTATGCCAATATATTATATTTATCTCTTTTTATTTGTTGTAGCGTGACCTATTATTCCTGTTTTTGCCATTTCTTCTTTGAGGACTTTAGAGGGAACCTCATACTTATAGGTTGCAGCTCTCCACTTGTTTTCAGTTCCCCACTAAATCATGCAGCGCTGATCCATTTTCTACTCATAGCATCCATAGCCTGACAAAACACCATGAGGTGGCACTAAAATGACGCTACGAACTTGTGGCTTGTGCAAAACAAATCAGGGGGATCAGGTCATCCATTACAGTAGACATTTATAAACAAATAATTTGTTGATGAGAATGCTATGAATGGTACCAACTACATAAATTGACATGCCCTACTGTGGCTATAGAGACAAAAAAACATAGATGAATGACTGCAATACAAATAAAGCATGTTTTTATTTAGTTGAAGGGTTGCATTTTTCGAAACAGTGGCTACTGCTTCCATTGGAAACAACCTAAGATTTTCAAGTCATGCCATGCCAGATAGTTTGGATTTTTAATGATGGAGTTGTGCCAAATTTCAAGTTTAAACAAAGCATAAAAATGCCAGGCCTACCATAACACATAGACACCCAGTATTTCAGCTCTCAATACTTCATTTTCCAGCAAATTCTCTCAATACTTCATTTTCATTGCAAATTCCTTTTAAAATGTTGCTTTGAAAGTAAAATACATTGTTCATTATGTACGACAAAGATATCAAATTTGATTAATATGCACTGGCTGTTTATGGCTACATTTATCTCCATTTAAAAGGTCAGTAGTGTTTTGGATGGAAAATAATGTACTCAGAATATCACTACTGAATATAAGTTATAGTTACTGCACATCTGAATGTAATTTTTTACGGTTGGTGTGAGAAATAACAAGTTTAATTCAAGACATAACAAAGAAATTGTGATTACTATGATAATATTCCACCAATCACTCCTAAAACTTAACATATCAGAATAGTCATCAATAATAAATATATCAGAGGATGGTAGTTTTCTTGCCTTGTGAAAGTAACTATTCAAGTATGTAAATAAAAATATAAGTTAAATGTGCTCATGAACATGTGTGAAAAGTAGTCATTGGCCACAAAAAGCTTTATAGTAATTAAAGGCAACAAGAGTACCCTGTAATAATGTACATATTTTATTAAAACATTTCAAATTTCTGCTACTATAACTGCAGCATTTAAAAAGATAAACCATCAGCGAAGCAGTATACAACATGAAAAAGTATGTTCCAAAGTGTATGGCATTTTCTAAATCCCCAATCTACCCAGTCCACATTAAACATATGTAACTTGTCTAAGAGCACATGACAAAACGAATGACACTATGCTTTTTTTTTTTTTTTAACACCGTGTGGAAATAACATGGCAGAGCAAAGCTGGAATTTGATTAATTTCAAGAAACAATGAGAGGTTGAGATAGTAAGAATGAACATGTTGCTATAAACTGTAAGCTATGGCAAACTTGCTGGGTAAAGTGGTAGAACTGGAATGTTTTGCCAAATTAAGCAGTCAAGAGCAAGGCTTCACATTGTAATCTGTTAAACCAGTAAAATTAAACAATATATTGGGCTGCTGTGACATATTGTAGATTGTCCTCAACTTTTACTACAGCTTTGAGATTGTGTGTTGGGTTTCAATGTATTTTGAGTGCTTTCTGGTACCCAAAAAAGTCTGTGAAAGGTATGTGTGGTTTATGCAATTAATCAATTTCTTTTGCACTAAAAGTACTAAGAAAGTGAAATAGAGTATCTGCTGTAACATATGTTATGGATATTGCAAACTATGCAGAACAGTAACAATACAACCCTTACAATATATTTCATATGTCTTTGACTATCAATAATTCATAGCTCTTGTAATAGTTTTCTGTTAAAATTGCTAAATGTTATGGAGTACGTTGATAAATGTCAATAATAATAATAATAATTACAAATGTAGTTCAATGTCCCAACCCATTTTCTCATCATCACCTTATTATCATGTACACAAATCAAACCTCAACGCACTTTCTTAATTAATTACTTGCTCCTTACCAAGGTAACATTAACTTTAGACGGCTATTTATCCATTTCCTAGTTGTAATCTACCTTAACTCCACTTGGTTGTTATTTTTAGTTTTAATATATATTTTTTATATATATTATAAGGCCAGTAAGGTTTTGTCATGTATAAATAGGGGTATAAATTCTCGGGATGAAAATATAATTTTGCCTCTTTATAAATTGCTGGTAAGACCACACATTGAATATGCTGTGCAATTTTGGGCAACTGTTCTAAAGAAGGATATCATGGCACTAGAAAAAGTGAAAAAACAAGCTATAAAATTGATAAAAAGAATGGAGCATTTTAGTTACTTAGAAAGGTTAAAAAATGTAAATCTCTTTAGTTTGGAAAAACGGCATCTCAGAGGGGATATGATAACATTATACAAATATATTCAGGACCAGTACAAACCATTATCTGGAAATCTATTCATAAAATAGGGCTATACATAGGAATCAAGGTCGCACATTTAGGCTGGAAGAAAGGAGATTTAATCTAAGGCAAAGAAAAGGTTTTTTTACAGTAAAAACTATAAGTATATGGAATTCTCTGCCTGAAGAGGTGGTTTTATTTTATCAGAGTCCATGCAGATGTTTAAACAGCAATTGGATAAATACCTCCAAAAACATAACATACAGGGATATAATTTCTAATTAGTGGGGTAATAGCTGCTTGATCCAAGGCGATATCTGACTGCTATTTTGGGGTCAAGAATGATTTTTTTCCTAGTTTGTTGCAAAATTGGAAGCACATCAGACTGGGTTTTTTGCCATCTTTTGGATCAACAGCAAAAACAAATGTGAGGAAGGCTGAACTTAATGGACGCAAGTCTCTTTTCAGCTATGTAACTATGTAAATCCTCATCTATTGTAAACTCATAGAATGTAAACTTGTAGATTGTAAACTCATTTTGATCAGGACCTTTTCAACCCTCAAATATCTAATTTCTATAATTGTAAAAACATATATCCTAAATTATTGCAATGCTAATATTAATTTTAAAAATATAAATTAAAGCTTTAGCAAGTGTCATCACATTCCAGTTCAGTCCAGTACAGCCAGGGCAAAAATTGGAAATAAGGAGAACAAATTTGTTTAATTTCTTCTTTGTATGTTTTCTCCATGCCTACATCCAGGTGCAAATTACAGAGATTCTAAAAATGATTTACAGGGTGGTATAACTGAGGCACTTAATTCCAGGATAGATATGTGAATTTTTATATTTGCTAAATATAGAGGATAAATAAAAATAATAGTTAAAACTCCATAAAATGATAGTTAAAATTATCAGTATGGGGAGCGGGCCGAACCAGCATGGCGACAGGACGCATCTCGGAGGAGCTCAATAGGCCCAAAAAGGCACTTTGCAGCCAACTACTACTCGATCTGAGCCACTCTACTTGACACCTAAGCTACCTGCCTTACCTACAAAGCAAGAAGGAGGCTGGCGACTCCAGGTACCTGTCCTGCTACACCCGTGGGAAAAGAAACCCGGTGGGCACCAGGCGGGGGAAGCTGCGGATCCCTCGCTTCGAGGAAACCAAGCTGCAGATAAGCATGGGCCTGTGCTCCGTGGTGGTGATCCTGGCCCCCCCCAGAGGGCAGCGCAGCCACAGCAATCAAGTCCCCGGCTACGGGTGCACCCAGCGGCGGTCACACCAAGATGGCAGATGCCACATGGCTCCCAGCACCTAACTCTGTGCTCAAGGACATACTTGTTTGGCTGGACAATCGGTTCCTGGAATTCTGTCGGAGACTAGAAAGCATGATATGTGTGCCTACCGCTGTAGTGACAACTGCTCCCTCACACCAGGGCCCACCGCGACAGCCTGCGGCTCCACCTAGAAGGAAGCACCGCTCACGACGTCTGCACAAACGGCAGGTGCAGCTCAAGCGACGGACATCCCGATGGCTCCCCACGAAGATGCTGAACGCCACCAGGAAACTTATACAGAGATCAACATTACCTAAAACCCAACAACTGCGCTCCAGCACTATCACCAGGCACCTACTGGACATACCCTGCAAAAGCTCACCAGCACCACCTGCCACGTAGGGGCATCGGCTGAGAGGGGCCACCCGACGGGACTCATGGAATACAGAACTGGGCAAATAGAACACAAAGGTGACCATGCCTACTTATGGGATACACAGGGACTACCCACAAGAGTTGCCATTGCCATAGGGGGCGGTCTGTGGGGACCTAATTACAGTAGCCAAATACACTAGACATACACCAGTGTGGATAGATGAGGCCTCACACATGTCAAATCCGCGGACTCTCGCTTAAACCTGCCGACAGGCAGTCTAGCCTGTATCCTCCCACACGTAAAGTGATTAACCCACAGTCATACCCAACTTGAATACACTACAACATTAAGCATGCCACATGACAGTTACCCTACATATACTTGCTTAGTTTACCTCACAACTGTCTATGCATGTATGTCACACCAGTATTGTTATTAGTTCTAACCTTGTAAAGAAATGTGAAGTCTCTTTTGAATGCCCTCAAGTGTTGAACTGAGTCACACTTACATTAGCTTTTGGGGCATTACAAAATGTTTATCAAGTTATAAGTGGCTTTTCGCTCATGCATAACCTGCAGTCTATGCCAACTCGATAAATAAATCTACAATATTGTGTGTTTCACTAGCCTTGTTCATTAATCTCATAACTAACTAGAATAGATGCAACACTTTGTTATGCGACAATAATTCAAAAAAAACGAGCAGTGATTTCTAATGCCTAACCAATGTAAAACCTATGTCTGAAGCTCTGTGTGCCCTAGCTGTTATGGCAGTGCACACTGTCTGTAACTATCCCTGCACAAATAAAATAAAGAATTAAAAAAACATTTTATCAGTCCAAAGATTCTTGAAAGAAAATAACAAATTCTATAATGTATAATGTACTTTCCCCCTCCGATAAGATAGGGGATAAAGGCTTTTGACTGATAATGCAGAAGAGAAACTTCTATATTAAATCAGCAGCTACAGAAAGTCAGATCTTTTTTTTTTAAAACAGCTTAAACATAATTTAGCAAAATGGTGGCACATAACCCTGGTTATTCAAAAGGAGTAAGATGTTTTTTATTTACCCTTCTGCTTGAGAATTAAAACCATTTATATGGAAAAACTATTCCAACATAATTAACACTGTAATGAAAGTAGACATGTGATTGTTTCTCTAAAACATTATTATCAAATAATAGAGGAACAACATATACAACATATATAGTTACATTACTTATGTGGGTTAACGTGATAGATATTACTCATTTTGTGTGTCGATAACGCTTTGTAAATAGCCACTTGTGTATTTAGTGTTATTTTATTTTGTCTTCTTTATCTACTCATATAAACGATTAACTGCATATTATTGAGAGTACAATAAAAGAAAAACGAAAACAAAAGTACACCTCGTTTATAATCTGTAGCCACCAAGCTTGTAGCAGGTCAGCTTCATTTAATACTCAGGTTGACCTGCTTAGCATCTTGTTTGTTCCTAACAGAGCATATGAAAGTTTTCCGAAGCTCTCATTTGTTTTATGTCAACAGCAATTGGTTGTAAAACTTAAGAGTTGTAGACAAGGCATTGTAAGGTCACTTTTGTGCATTTAAAATGATAGATTTTTCCCTCGGAAGTTGCAGGTTCAGTGCTGAGTAACTCTCTCTTCACAATAATCACAGCTTAGAAAATATTCCAGAGTGTATGACACGGCAACATTTTCATCAATAGAAAAAACTTATATAGCAGTGCAGAGCCTACTGTTGGGTCAAATATATTTGACTAAATATGATAATTTATTCATATGATGCCAAAAAGCTCCACGCAATAGTTACACTATGTAAACGTTAAAACAAGACACAATTTAACCCCTGGATGGAGGCAGTTGATGACTTTCTGACCAATACAAAACTAAAACAAAACCCAAAATTTGAGGTATAAGTCTGTTGAACCATAATTTATCTCTTTCATATTAAAGAGACACTATGGGCAGCCAGACATCATCTCACTGAAGTTGTCTGGTTGCAGTGCCATCTCCCCCTTTTTGAGAAACTGCAATGTTTCCATTGCAGTGCTAAGACTCCCCTTAGTGGCTGTCTACCAGAGGCGCTTCTGCAAGTTTACTGGACTCAGGGTCCTTTAAATAATGCTGGATGTCCTAACGCTTTGCATAAGAACATCTAGTGTCAGTGCAATCTCCATAGGAGAGCATTGATTCAGTGTTTTCCTATGGGCAAGGCCTAATTCGCATGGTGCGCACGCCGCTAATGCACATTAGGTCCCCCTGTCGGATGATGTCAAAAGAGGCCGAGTGCTGATCCACCGCCAAGGGACATCTGGTATTGGGTAAGTAAATAAAGGGATGTTAACCCTTTATGTGCCTCGGAGAGGGGTAGGGAGGGAGAGGGTCACCAGAGGGCATTTTTTTTTTTTTTATTGTTGCTGTTATTATTAGCCTTTTATATCTCTAGAACTTATTCCATAGTGTGCTACAATTCTACAGTGAGGATAGATAATGGCAAATAATTGACAAAATAATGATGACAGCTACAAGAAGCTCATATGGCTTACAACTTATTATTATCAACTTTTATTTTTTCTGTTTTTTTTTTTTTTTTTAGAAATTACTTATCAAATTTAAAAAATATTAAGCACCTGTAGCTCAATTAATGGGTGTTTAATACCTCAAAGTACTGTATAAGTAGGAATGAATGTCTGATAACTATTACTTGGTATACTATATTGTTATATTAAGTTCTCTTTTTACAGAACAGCTCCACAGAACTGCAGATTTGATTTACGATACCTCTTGTAAGTAGTATTTAGCATGCCCAGTGAAGCTTGTATCTGATTAGAACCAAGAAACTTGTATTAACATGTTTCTTGGGTGATTCTAGATTGTGTTAAAAAGATCAGAAGTCATCCCATCCTGAGGTGAATTGGTACAATATTTGGCCTGTCTAGACTATGCCAGGTAAGTGTTTCATTGGGTTGCTTTCAACAGGATTTCATGGGCATGCAAAGAGGGCAAATGCTTTCATTTGTTAAGGCTGTTCCAGTGACTGAACCCAAAAAAATACTGCACACGTCCTCAAGTCATCTCAGTTCTGTTGCTGACAAAATCTTTCAACAGACTACTGAATATACTGCAACTAATTGTTAAGTGTTGACAGCGACTGTGTGACATAAAGGAACAGCAGCATTTAAAAGAGTTATTGCAGCAGATACCTACTATCACAGTTTTCTATTACAGCTTACACAGATATCCAGATTATTCTTTCCATTCTATTATTTCTACAAGGAACCTGTGTTAAAGAGGTTAATTGTATTTTTCTTGTACAATCACAGAACAACACAGCCAAAAGGGATTGTGAAGACCAACCAGTACATTTGCCCCAAGTGAACTCCGTTTTTGCATTAGGTGGTTTTTCGCCCTAAAACATGTTTGCCTTGTCCTACAAATAGTGGCAAACAAAAGAAATATATTGGAATGCAGTAAGATCGTTTTTTTTTTTTTGCTGTGGCCTGCATGTTAAGATACACTTAAATAATATAATTTACTGTAAAAACAAGCCATCCATTTGTAGAAAGGACTTGTTTTGGAATGTTATGCTAGACTAGGTTTCAAGTAATTCGTGAATTTTGCTCTCAGATGCCCTCCTCAATGCTCTGGCTCTTATTTCTTGGTTTTTAAAGTTTGTTTTCTAGATTTCTGTTTTTTCTAAATAATACTAATAACAAAGTATTTACCACGAAAGGTACATTCGGATTACTCTGGTTTTCAAGTACGTTCTGGGGATGTTACCTTAGCCCAACACCCAGGGGTTGTTACTATGCACTTAAATGTATAACCAAAAACCCAGTTATTATTTTTATTTTATTATTTATATAGCGCCAGCAAATTCCGTAGCGCTGTACAATGTTATTCTCTGATCTCCAAATTGTTAGTAGCAATAGTAGCAATAGCTATTTGAAGTGAACAGGGGAACTGGAAGACTTAACCAGAATAATGGAAATGTGTTTTTTTTTTTTTTTTGTTAATTAACTCTTAACCCCTTCCCGACCCAGGACGGTTCAGGACCGTCATCGGCATTTTTGCCTTGCCGACCGATGACGGTCCTGAACCGTCCTAACGGTCTGAGCTACTTACCTGATCGCCGTCGTTCCCCCGGCGGCGATCAGCGTTGCTCCGGTTGTGGGGAGACTGCCTGCAGCCCAGACAGTCTCCCCACACTGAATTAGGACCCCTGTGGCCATGTGATCGCTCAACACAGCGATCACATGGTCACAATAGGTGTCCATGTGTCTGCCTGCAGGGGGACTGTCTGTGCTGACAGGCAGTCTCCCTGCTAGTGTAAAATCAAAAAAAAAAATAAAGTTAATGTTAATAAAAAAATAAAAATAATTATATATGTGTATATATGATATATAGACATATATTATATTCATATAATATATGTCTATATATCATATGTATATAATGTCATACTAAGTGTATTTTTATATTAATATGTACTTATATTAATATAAAAATACACTTATAATTAAATTACACACGTGTATATATATAATATATATAATAACTATATATATTGTATATATATATTATTATAAAATATAAATAATAAGTAATTTAAATTAAATAAAACATTTTTAAATAATAATAAAAAATGTAAAAAAAATTATATAGCTATATGAAATTTTATTCTAACTGTATTTTAAAATTAATATATATATATTTATATCAAAATACACTTAGAATGAATTTGTATATATATCTATGTATATAAAAAATAAATAAAAATAATAAGAAATATACATATGTCCATATACAAAATTACATAAATAATTATATAAATATACACGTAGACTTCAAATATATAAATATGCATATATATTTAAATTCTACGTGCGTATTTATGTAATATTTTACATAATTAAGTAATTTTATTGATTGCAATTTGAGGGACCTGCCTGCCAACCCAGGCCAAAAGTCCAGAGAATTTAATTTGCTAGCACTGTATTTTACCCTGTAACGTTCTACGA